GATATAACTGCTTATATCAGCTGGATCCTGGCTGAAAGCAAAGAGTACCAGGACAATGTTTATTTGTGCTTTACTGACCATAGAAAGGCAGTGGACTACATGCATCATAACAAATTAGGGACACCATTGTGAAAAATAGCTATTATAGAACACTTAATTGTGCTTATGAGGAAACTGTACACAAACCAAGAGGCAGTCATTTGAACAGAACAAGGGCATATTGAATGGTTTCAAATCAGAAAGTGTGTACACCAGGGCTGTATTGTTTCCCTATACTTAATCAGTATGCTGAGCAAATAATCCAAGAAGCTAGATTATATGGAGAAAAAAGTGGCATCAGGATTGGAGGAAGACTCAGTAACAACTTGTGAGATGACATAACCTTGCTTGTTGGAGCTAAAGAGGACTTAAAATACTTACTAATGAAGTAAGTATAGGTTGTATATCAATGTAAAGAAAACAAAAGTCCTCACAGCTGGACCAGTAAATAACATCATGATGAATAGAGGAAAGACTGAAGTTTTCAAAAACTTTAGGAAAGACTGAAGTTTTCAAAGACTCTAGTTTACTCAAATCCACAATCACCTCTCATGAAAGCAGAAGCCAAGAGATCACAACATATGCACGTGAAAGATGAACAATAAATGAGGAAGACCATGTAAGAACTGATACATTTGGGTAACGGTGTTGATGAACAATATGAAAGAACTGTGGACTGCCAGAAGAACAAACACATCTGTCTCAGAAGAAGTAAAGCTAGAAAGCTCCTTAAAAACAAGGAGAGAGAGACTCTGTCTCTTATACTTTAGGAGGGATATGTCCTTGGTAAAGGATTGCATGCTTAATAAAGTAGAGGGTTAGCAAAAAAGAGGAAGACCCCCAATGAGATGGATTAACACAGAGGCAACAACCAGGGCTCAAACATAACAACTGTGTGGATGGCGCAGGACCAGGTAATGTTTCTTTCTGTTGTGCATAAGGTGGTGCTGAGTTGGAGCCAAGCTGATGGCTTCTACCAACAATAAAAACAACAACATGGGCAATCATTAAAAAAACAACACACAATTTAGGCAACTCTAAATTACAGGAAGAAAGCAAAAAGTCATTATGAAGACAAGAAAGAAGGAAAAGGTCAAAATGGATGTCAGAAGATACTCTGAAACTTGCTCTACGGTGTAGAGATGCTAAAGCAAATGGAAGAAATGAGGAGGTACAAGAGCTGAACAGAAAATTTCAAAGGTCAGCTCAAGAAGACAAAGTCAAATCATACAAGGAAATGTGCAAATATCTGAAGTTATAAAACCAAAAGAAAAGAACACGCTTAAGCATTCCTCAAGCTGGGGTAAATGAAGAAAAAATTCAAGCCTTGACTTTCGTATTGAAGGTTTCTCTGGGCAACTTATTGAATGATGCAGAAAGCATCAAAAGAAGATGGAAGGAATACACTGTCACTGTACCAAAAGGATATGGTCAATGTTCAACCGTTTCAAGAGGTAGCATATGGTTAAGAGCCAATGATACTGAAGGAGGAAGTCCAAGGTGCATTGAAGGGACTGGCAAAGAACAACGCACCAGGAATTGATGGACTACAAATTGAAATCTTTCAAGAAAGTAAGGCAGCACTGAAGGCACTCACTCATCTATGCCAAGAAATTTGGAAGACAACTATCTAACTGACTGGAAGAGATCTGTATTTGTGTCCTTTCCAAAAAGAGGTGACCCAACGGAATGTGGAAATCATCGACAATATCTTTGATAACCCATGCAAGTAAATTTTTACTAAACATAATACAGAAACAGCTGCAAGCATACATTGACAGAGAACTTCCAGAGGTTCAAGCCGGATTCAGAAGAGGACATGGAATGAAGGATATCATTGCTGATGTCAGATGGATCTTGGCTGAAAGCAGAGAATATCAGAAAGATGTTTACCTGTGCTTTATTGACTACAAAAAGGCCCTCGATTATGTGGATCATAATAAGCTATGGGCAATATTGTGAAGTATGGGTATTTCGGAATGCTTTATTGTACCCATGAGGAACTTGTACATAGACGAAGAGGCACTTGTTTGAACAGAACATGGGAACACTGAATGGTTTATAATTAGGAAAGGTGTGCGACAAGGTTGTATTCTTTCACCATACTTATTCAACCTGTATCCTGAGCAAATAATCTGAGAAGCTGGGTAATATGAAGAAAAACATGGCATCAGGATTGGAGGAAGACTCATTAACAACCTGCACTATGCAGATAATACAAACTTGCTTGCTGAAAGTGAAGAGGACTTAAAACATTTACTGATGAAGATCAAGGAGCATAGCCTTTGGTATAGATTGCATCTCAATGTAAAGAAAACAAAAATTCTCACCACTGGACCAATAAACAACATTCTTATCAATGAAGAAAAGATTGAAGTTGTCAAAGACTTCATTTCTCTTGGATCAATTATCAACACTCACGGAAGCAGCAGTCAAGAAATCAAATGACGTATTGCATTAGGCAAATCTGCTGCACAAAACCTTTTTAAAGTGTTGAAGAGCAAAGATGTCAGCCTGAGGACTAAGGTGCACCTTACCCAATCCTTGGTATTTTCAATAAACTCATACGCATGTGAAAGCTGGACAGTGAAAAAGGAAGACCGTAGAAGAGTTGATGCTTTTGAGTTATGGTGTTGGAGGAGAATATTGAAAGTGCCATGGGCTGGCAAAAGAACAAACAGATCTTTTTTGGAAGAAGTGCAGCCAGAGTGCTCCTTGGAGGCCAGGATGGCCAAACTTCATCTCTCATACTTCAGATATATTGTCAGGTGGGACCAGTCAGTGAAGAGGGATATCATGTTTGGTAAGGTGGAGGGTCAGGAAAAAGAGGAAGACCTCCAGCGAGATGGACTGGCATAATGGCAGCATCAATGGGTTCACGTGTGGCAACAATTGTGAGGTTGGCCCAGGACAGGGCAGTCTTCTGTTCTGTTGTGCATAGGGTCACTATGAGTCGGTACCAACTCGATGGCACCTAACAATAACAACAACATAAATTATATGGGAATGTGATAGGTTCATAGGGTAAGTACTGGAATGTAAATCATAAGGTTATCAGTTCGAGCCCACCAGTTACTCTTTAGGAAGAAGATGGTTTTCTGGTTCTGCAAAGATTGACAGCCTGTAACTACTATACAGGGCCACTATCAGTAAGAACCTAGTCTACAGCACTTAATAAAAACAAATATAAACTACTTATGATGAGTTTATGACAAGCTGATTTCATTTAATAAATATGCAAAAGATGTAGATAAGAATTAAACACCCACAATATCAGCATAATCATATTACAAACTGATTTTAAAACATTTAACTGCTTTCAACAGAAAAATATCATGTAAAATGATTTCTTTAAACATTCTGCTGTCTTAAAAATGAATTTAAGTGCCATGTGTCTTTGCTCTCATGTCAAGAATCACTGTACTAATAGGAATTGTTACCTTTTTTTGCCCTGCCCACCATGTAAATCAACTGTCTAGGAATATTAGTCTCGCTCATAATCCAACAGCATTTTAGGAGGTTGTGGAATAATATCCACTTGTCTGTGGATATTCATCAGCTACATGCTCAAATTTCTGATATAAGTAATT